ACCAGTGTGCCCCCAGCGGCGGCTGCCCTCAGGAGGAGAAACCCCCCTTGCCCCGTGGAGCCAGCCAGTGCCTGCCTGGGGCTGGTTCAGAAGCAGCGGCCCCGGGGTCAGGACGTGGGGACCGTCCATCTGCCTGGCATCTCATACTCTGCTCTGTCCTTCCAGATCCAGAAGCTCATTAAGGAGCCGGCCCCGGACAGCGGCCTCCTCCCCCTGTTCCTGGGACAGAGCCCTGGGTTCAGCTAACCCTGCGGCCCCGTGGCCTGCCTCCCTTCAGCACGTGGGGGCCGGGCAGGAATAAACCCGTCAGTACCGTGATCAGCTCTGTGTGCGCCATGCGCAGTGCTCCCGTGTGTGTTGTGCACTAGACCTGCCTGGCGTCACTCGGTTCCTTCACTTAAAATGGTGGGGCTGGGGCCGAGAGCTGCAGCTTGCCCCAGGGGGCGAGGACAACCCCGGCCCTCTCTCACCGCAGCAGCGTGGGGCCAGGGGAGAAGCGCCTCTCCGTGGCCACTGCAGCTCCAGCGGGCACAGCTGGGGGAGGGGTGCATGTCCCCCAGCTGGGGCAGGTCCAGGTTCATCTGCCCCCTGTTCTGCCCCGCCAGAGTGAGAATGCAGCAAACTGGGTACTTCCCCTTGGCTCACTGAGGAAGAGAAACAGCCTTACGAATCGGGAGAGCTTCAGTCCCCCACCTTCCCTAACGGGCACCCTAAAGGGAGGCTCAGGGATGGGGTGCCCCCAGTGATCCCCCTTTCATCTGCCTGGTGATTGTTTCTCTTTCTTGTATGGATCTCTGAGACGCAGTCCCATTCTGGGCTCATCCCATTGTCCCGGCGCAGCCAAGTCCCTGTTGTCCTGGCGCAACCAACCTTGCTTCTCGTGATAAGAGGAAGCTGCCTGCCGAATTTGGTCCTAGCTCCTACCGTTTAGGAGGCGTTCTTGCATGGAGAAACACACAGACAGACAAACTTTCTCATTTATATAGTAGATATACAGAAATGACTCGTTTAACACGTGCCATCTTAACATGTTTTCGCCATAGCACGAGTTGTTGGGTTTTTTTAAGGGAATGTTTTCCGAATAACACGACTGTCCCCGAAATAACACAAAAATAATCAAGTGGCGGACTACTTTGTGCGGCGGTATACGTTGGTGAAAACAGTGGTAATATGCATGAGCGGATGAATACACGTGGTCACAGCGCTCCTCCGCTCACTCACGTGTTTATTTTTGTTTTAACAAACCGTGGGGACTTGTGGTGTTAGAGATCTAATGTTGACGTTGACGACCCAGCACCAACAAAACATTGACTTTGCCACCACCACCTGAAACACAACCCCCAACTGTTCCATTATTTTTAATGGGAAAATTGACCCTCAAGCACGTTTTCGCTTAGCGCAAACGTTTTCAGAAACGCATCTATAGTGTTGAACGAAGAATTACTGGATAGGGTGTGGTGCTGCCCTCTGGTGGCGCATCCATGTGTCTGTGCGCTGTACAGCCCCCTGGTGGTGCATCTGTGTGTCTGGGTGTGGTGCTGCCCTCTGGTGGTGCACTCATGTATCTGTGCGCCATATAGCCCCCTGATGGTGTACCTGTGTATCTGTGTGGTGCTGCCCCCTGGTGGTGCACCTGTGTGTTTGTGCATGGTGCTGCTCCCTGGTGGCTTACAGGTGTGTGTGCATGTTTGTGCACACAGCTGCCCCCTAGTGGAGTGTGTATTTACCTGTCTGTCTCTGGGCTGTTGATCGGCCCTTGAATCTTTGTGCTCCCCCAAACAGGCTGCAGCCCCCCCCCCAGTCCATGTGTACTCCCATTCCATGTCCCTCCCCCTCAACACGCCCAGCTAGCCTCCCATCACTCCCATCCCCCCATGCCTCTCACTCCACCCCTAGTTCCCACCCCTCTGACCCCCGCCATGCTCCTCTCCTCAGGAGCGAACCTTTGTGCCCCCCCGAACAGGCTGCAGCCCCCCCCCCAGTCCATGTGTACTCCCATTCCATGTCCCTCCCCCTCAACACGCCCAGCTAGCCTCCCATCACTCCCATCCCCCCATGCCTCTCACTCCACCCCTAGTTCCCACCCCTCTGACCCCCGCCATGCTCCTCTCCTCAGGAGCCATGCACAGCTCCCTAGACACCCCCCGCCCCATATTGCTCTTAGCACCAGCCTCCAACAGGGGCAGGGCTGGAACAAAGACCCAGGCGGTTACCGTGGTGCTGCCATCGCCATGGCAACGGGATTATGTTCCACGCCGGGAACATCGGTTAATTGAGCAAATTGCCACATTTTGCTGATTCCAGCAACAAACGCCCCCCTCCCCCCAGGGATCCCAAGAGAGTAATGCGAGGGCCCCTTCCCCCAGCACCGGGATGGGGCCCCTCTGGGGTGGGATGCGGGGGCTGGGTGTGCAGGGGACCCCTGACCCACACTGGGACGGGGTGGGCTGTGGGGGTGGTTAGAGAAGGACCCCTTGCTGGCACCACCTTCCCGCTGCTTCTCTCACTCCACTTTGAAACTCAAATCAAATTCAGGGCATTTTAATTCTGAATAAGCCTCCACCCCTGGATTTAAAATGGCTTAGTTAAGCCGTGAAAGAATCAGAGGATCCGCCTTGGTCGTTTAAGGGGATCCCTCAGGACAGTGAATCCGAATTAATTTTGGAAGTGCCGGAGCGAAACCCCATTTTATCCCGGTGTAGACAGGCTGAGCTCGGCTGTGCTGCGAAACCAGGGCCCTTACATTCGGAATGGGTCGGAGTTTAAAGAAGGGTCAGCACAGCCAGGTTGAATGTGGAGTTGATCTGGATGAACGTTCCTGTGTGTAGACACGCCTGGAACCAAAACTGGGCTCGCCCGCCTCCGGCAGGAGCGTCGAAGGCAAAGGCAGCTCTGCTCCCCTGGGGGGCCCGATCACGCAGAGAGTTAACGCCATGCTGGTAAGTGCGGCCACTGGCCTGCTTATGCCAATGTGGCCCGGAGCGGATGTGGGCAGTGCAGGCCGGGCTGTAAAGGTTATCCAGGCCTTGCGGGCACCGTGGCTTGCTGAGCTGCGTGGAGGGAAGCCTGGGTCAGTGGCGGCATCGAGGGCCTACTAGATCAGGAGAATCCCGACTCTGATCCTCTCCTATCCCCTACCCCCACCCCAGCACCGCACCCAACCTGCGTTGCTGGGAACAGCTGCTGTTCTTGTGCTAGGATTTTACTCCCCCACCCCCCCAGCACCTCTTCTGCCCAGCCTGGCTCTAGGGGGTGCTGCATGCTCCCCCCACATCTCCCCTGCCTGGTGCTAGCAAGCACCCTCTCCATGCCATCCTCCCCCAATGAGCCGGGACCATGTCATGTTTCCGGCACCCTGGTACAGCTGGGAGCAGGAGCAAACCCAGGGGTGCTGGGGCCAGGCAGGGAGAGGACAATGGGGGAGTAATGGGTGGGGGGAAGATGCTGTATAATCTGGTTCAGGCCTCAGCTTGGGATGTGGGATGCAATGGGGGCTTGGCTGTGGAGGGGCTGGCTGCAGTGGAGATGCAGAGCCCTCTCCTTTCCTGAACTAGCCCCCCTCCCAATTGTGTTTGCCCTCTGATCCCTTCCTATCCTCAGCCCGTGGAATCCTGGGGGATTTGAACCCAGGACTTCCAATAATGCACCCAGCCGACTCGCTCCCTGGAGGGGAAGGAGCGACTCCATGAGCAGGTAGCGATAGTTGGTTGTTATCCTTGGAGGAGGACGCTCTCCTGGGGGACATGGCAGCCTAAAAGGGATCCTCTTTCAAGTTCTCTTATCAAAATTGTGCGGCAAATGCACCCACCTGTGGGGCCACCTACAAAGTCCGGTTGTTGGGCCGCAGGCACTTTGGACACTGGCTTTTATTCCCACCTTTCCTTGGAGTGAGCTCAGATAACCGGCGGCTTTTCTCTATGCCTCAGTTTCCCCTTTCCCTGTTGTGTGTTTTTGTTAGAGGTTCTAACTTGGCCCTGGCCCATCAGGTACTGCCTAGACACAGAGTCACCAAGATCGGGGCCTTTTCACACCAGGTGCTGCTCAAACTTTCTCCAATGGATCAGTTGTGTGACTCTTCTCGGAACCCTCTCTGATTTCTTTCTTGAACCATTGGCACCAGAACTGGGCTCACCCGGGCCAAATCCAGTGGCCCAATAGCCTCTCTATGCTGACTTGAGGTTCCCGTTTGCACAGCCCAGGGTTGTGTTCAATGTTCCCTCTAATTGTTTCCACTCACATGCGGAATAGATTTTGTTCGGTGCACTGAGGCATGTGCAGATGTGCACCACCAGTAGAACACAAGCTGCTGACTCTGGGCATGGTGGGTGCTCTGCTAACCAGCCGGGCGGCATTTGAATCTCTCCTGGGTGGCCACCCGAGCACACAGCTTACAGGGAACATCGGTCGTACGTGGGGAGCTCACGGGCAGCTGATTGGCCACCCCAGTGCCCAAATCTTTCTCATACAGTCCCCCGGTCTGTAAACCTGGCTAGTGTCCTTTGCTCCTAGGTAGACCCGTTAGCCTTTAGTGATTTTAAAAGACTTGCTGTTTGCTTGTCCCCACTGTGCCAAACAATTCCAGTTGCCCCGAGTTCCTGAACCGTCCTCCACGTTCGATATTTCCCTCCAACTGTTGTGCAGAACTCAGCAGTGTGCTTTCGCCTAGCTCCTTGATTTAAAATGCTGAATAGTGGGGAGCCCAAGCCTGAGCTGAGGGGGACCCCCTGGAATCCCACCCGCTCTACGAGGAGTCCCCATTCACAGCTGTGTTCTGAGATTGATCAGTGAGCCAGTTTTTAATCCTTGGAGCATCATGGGACCACAGTCATTCTCTATAGGTCTTGGGTTTTTTTCCCCCCCATCAAAAGGACGTGTGACACCCGATCGAATGCCGCATGGCAGCCTCCGGCGACTACAGCAACACTCACACGGCCACTGGCCCAATGGGGCATCTCAGAATAGCTGAGTGAGTTTGACACCCTCTTCCAAGTTCCAGCCTGCTCAGGGAGGTCTGGCCCCTTCTCCAAACACCGCAAAGTGGCTTCCTCATTCATCAAAGAGCCACGGTTCATTTGGGAGGAGGGGGCCACTCTGCGGGTGAGGGGTCCCATAGGAGCAATGGGAGGAGAAGTAGCAAGAGGTCCAAAAAGTTTCAGGGTCTTTTCCTTTTTCTTTTCTGTCTGACTCCTCCTACATAGTTTCCCTCTTGCTGCCCCACTTCTCCCCAGATCTCCTCCCCCTCCCTT